TCTGCCTGACCTTTGCTTTAGATAAAGTGTTCCAGTTTCTTCAAAGTGGCGTAGACTGTCATGCAGTGCTCTCTTAGAAAACTTTGCATCAAGCCTAGATTTGACTGTGAGAAAGCTCCACCTTACTTAGATTGAGACTTTAGTTTCTGAGGCTTTTACTTAGCTCTGATTTCATGTTTCCTCCCACCAAAATGTCTCTTTATAAGCAGGTTTTTAAGCTTAAAACTTGATATTTCTAAAAAGCAAACTGCTGCTAGAGGGTTTACTTTTGATGCACTGATCAAACACGCCTAAGTGTTATCTAAATGCACTGATGGGATGATATAGTTACCAACAAAGAGTCCAGAATCATTCAACTTCACATTTTTTGATTATTTTAAGCTTTGACAGCTTTTCTGTGTAGTCTCCGACTTTTGGACCCTACTATATATTTGTGTTTTTGCCTCTGTGCATCCATACAGGCAATTTTAAATCAAGCGATCAAGATGTGATTGAAGTGGAGATATTTAGCTTTAATTCAATAATAACTGTTTATTATTACCACTAGTTTTATACACAGTCCCCTATTTTCACAGGCTCTAAGCTAATTGTACAACTGACTGATAAGAAGCGTCATGGCCAGATGAAGCCTGTTTCCGTGTTCTGGATCTGGAGTTGATTCTGAGTGTTGAACTTGTTGAACTTCTTTAGCTGCTGAAACTCTTAATATGAGGTCCAAAGAGACATTGATGCAAGTAATGGAGGTCATCATTAGATTGGAAAACTAAAATGAACCCCTCAGACAGAGAGCAAAAACTTTGGGATTGTCTAAATCGAGACTCTAGTCTTTACAAGAATGAATGCACTAGCCAGCTCAGCATCATCAAAAGGCTTGAAAGACTGCAGAAAACAACAAAAATGCATGATTGCAGAATTATTTCTCTGCAGGAGAAGAACTAAGAGCACCTTACCTACCTTAAGGAGGTATCATTGTGAAAGACTACAATCAAGAAATCAATGCAGACGGTTTACAGCAAGCTGCAAACTACTGGCTACACATTTAAGAACAAGAACGTCAAATTAGATTTTTTACAAGTTGAATTTCTTTGTCCAATTACTTTTGAATCTCTGAAAATTTGGGACTCTATATAAAATTATTTTTTACAAAGTTATGGAGGTCACATGGTATATGATCTATAGTCTTGCTGGTACATTCCTTGTGTAATTTTATATCCATTAGGCATACAGTACACCAAATATGGATGCAGGAGGAAGAGTGATAGCCGTTTGGTGCATCGTAACTTTTGTGAAACCGGCAAAAAGCCCAAACCCATCCGAAAACGCTGCAACACCCAAGACTGCAGCCAGCCCACGTGAGTGACTTTAAACTACAGCACTGCAGCTCTATCAGCAACTTTTAAAATTGCTTTCATACCGTATGGCCACTCTGACATGACTTTTACCATTTTAGTGAGGATGTAAAAACTAGTGTAGAAAGGTTATTTAATTTTGGAATGAGAGGGATAGTTTTATTCAAACACAATGCTCTCTTGATAGGTGGGTGGTAGAAGAGTGGAGTCCTTGCAGTAAGACCTGTGGAAAACTCGGGTACCAAACCAGGGTGGTGCAGTGCATGCAGGCGCTTCACAATGGTACCAACAAAGTGGTCCACAGCAAACACTGCACTGATGAACGTCCAGAGATAAGGAGAGCCTGCAACCATACTGTATGTCCTGCTCAGTGGAGGACAGGAGCATGGTCTCAGGTGAGACAGGATCTTCTTCTTCTTCTTCTTCTTCTTCTTCTTCTTCTTCTTCTTCTTCTTCTTCTTCTCGATGAAAGCTGATGAAAATAAAACATATTTGTGTGTGTGTTTGTGTGCGTTGGGTGTGTCGCAGTGCTCAGTGACCTGTGGCGAAGGCATTCAGCAGAGGCAGGTGGTATGCAAGACCAGTGACAACACCATTGGAGAATGCGAGGGCGAGAAACCGGAAACAATCCTCATTTGCAAATTGGGACTATGTTCAGGTGAGATGCACATGCATGTACGTGCTAATAGAGGAGAGATTTGGCCACCTTGCTACTAGTCTCACATACACCATTAAAAGGACACTGCTTCTGCTTCTGACTTGTGACAAGTAAATGCATTATGAGTCTTGCACATGTTATCATAATCCTTGCAGTAGATTTTAGAGAAGTGTAGTGTAACACAAGATTTGCCTCGTGAACATGAGCAGAAATCTTCCAAAACCAACTTTGTCTCACTAATGGTTACAAGATTGCTGCATAAGACCCTTGAGACCCACATAGGCAAACACTTTTTTTCAGGACTGAATACATTTTCTGTTAATGCTCTTTGTATTAAATATCCTGTGCACATAAAGACACTTCTTTAAGACCTTAAATATTTCTGCACCAGTGCCCTTCCTCAGCCTTTCTCATTTTGCTTCCTCTTCAAAGAGCTGAGTGCCTCCAGTTCTTTCAGTTCTTTTCTTTTTCCTTGCATTGGTAGTAAGTGGAAAATTATGTGCTTTGAAAATACACAAAGGAACACAAAGAATTCCAGTTTGCACTCCGTGCCCTGTGAACAACAAAGTTCTGTTTTCCTGTAAAAGAAACAGATTCCCAGAAGCTTTTTCTGTCATGGCTTTTTTTTAACCCCAGTTTTGTTTTGTTTTTTGCTGTTACACTCTTCAGGACATCCAGGGTCTTCTCTCGACGAACAAATAATGGAAAACTCTACAATAAAAGACGAAGCTGTCTATCTAAGAGTTCCAGAAAACCCTGTCCAAAAAATCTCTTCAAGTAAGCTACAATGCAATTTTTTTCTGAAATCAATATAAACAGAGTAGAAGTAGAAATGTTCATTTCACCGCAGTTTTTAGTGATGTTCTCTGTCCTGTTATTACTAGATGAGCCATGTCTGGGGGATAAATCGATTTTCTGCCAAATGGAAGTCCTTTCCCGGTATTGTTCCATCCCTGGATATTATAAGCTTTGCTGTGAGTCTTGTGACAAGAAAGAAAGCCTCACTACCCATGTTCCTGACTTTCACACCCCAGTAGCCTTAGCTGAACCTGACATCTCAGCTCTTTCTCATCCTGCCTCTTCCAAGCCACCTCATGTCACCACAACACAGACCCCGCCAAAAACCACTAAAGCCATCACTCGACGGCGTCTTTTCACTACCCCGGTGCCAACTACAGCTGCCACTTCTCAAACTTCACCACAGACAAATGCTGCTCCGCCCCAGCATCCCACCAGCGAATCCTTTCTCACTGCTGGAAAGAGAGATTCAGATGCTGGGCCAGTTCTACCTCCGGGGCCGCCACGGCCTACAGCAGACTCAAGTGGAGGTGCCTCTAAAGAGCACAGCCCAAACAGCACTTTAGGCCCAGCTGCTGCAAGATCAAGAAGGGACACTTTAGGATCAGAGAGGGACTCCAGTCACAGAAACTTGTCGGCTCAGAAATGAACAGTGAACAATGTTGTGAATGTGCTGTTCGGTGAAATGGTCTCAAACATCAGCACACCCTTTGCAGTATGTGATTTACTCAAAGTTTTTCTTTTTTTTTTTATTATTATTATTATTATTTTTCTGTCCATGATAGTGAACTTAGACCAGCCCAGTGGTGGTTACCTCATCAAAACTTCAGAGCGATCTGGTGCACGGCGTCGCTCGGCCGTGTGTGCTTCAAATATGAAATGGAGAAAAAAAAGTTTAAACAAAGGTGCTGTAAACTAAAATGACTTCAAAATGTGATGACTGCATTGCTACATTCATGTTTTTATCTGTGTACAGTTGTGCAAGCCTGTTGTTTTTTCAAGTGCATTAGAACTACTATTAAACTCGTGAACATAAGGAGGTCATAGACTATGGTTTTGGAGGTGCACGTGCCAGCTATGGGGTCTGGAGTGTGCCACCAGAATAATTATAAACCTTATACTGTATTTATAATATAGAGCTACATTTTTTAAAGACAAAAAAAAAATCCTTATCCCTGTGTAGTGTCATTGTCTCTGCCAGATGCCATTTTATGACAGCTTTACCCACATATGAAATGCAAGAAGTAGCTACAGGACTGGCAGGTTAGCTGTTATGTTGTACATAATAGTTATTGGTCTAAACTCAAAAAGCCCTGGCAAAAAAAGTCTTATGTATTAACCTGGCGTATTCTATCAAATACCATGCTAATTCCATTTATTTATACAGTATCCATCCATATTCTTCCACTCTTCTAAGTTCGGGTTGGAGAAGAAGTAGTTTAATCACAAACCTCCCTGGCCCCCTACTCGAGCTCATTTGGAGTCCCAGATGATAATCCATCCTGATAGGGCTCCTTCTTGAAATTGACAGCTCCCTTTATCCCCATTGTTGCCACAACAGGTGCCAACCGACTTGCAGCCACAGCTCTGTAAAGCCACCTTGGCAAAGGAGATGTGGAACAGTCTGTTCGGACTAAAGTCCCCTGCCTCCTTTGAACGTTGTCAAAGTTTGAGTGGGAAAGGAAGATGTCATATATTAGGGCTTCTAGCAGATATTCTGAGCGCACCCTCACTAAACATCTTGGAATGCCGGGCCTGTGAAGCATCCTCCCTTGCCACAGGATCCAACTCACCACTAGGTGATGATCAGTTGACACCTCAGCTACTGTTGTGACTAAGTTGCTAGCTAAAGGCCTAGTCAAACATTGCAGGGAAATACAACCAGGCATCTACTGAACTTTTTTTTTTACTTTAAAAAACTCAATTTGTGTCGGTACAAAGATTATGAGTGTCAATTTAGCTCCATTAATAACAAAAGAGCAATAGCTTGATAAATGTGCATATATAAGATATGCTAATTAGCCATGTGGTCATGTCGCTTACCCTCGATCTGTTATGAGCTGCTAATCTCGGCTCAACCAGTCTGGTAAAAACTGCATTCAGGTAATTCAGGTAAAGAGTGAATTGGAATTAAAATACTTGACATGATCTAAAAGCAAATGAACTTAAATGATTAAAAACAAGTATTTAAAGATAGAAGCTAAATTCAGAGAGTCATTACACCAAATTATTATTTAACCAACTGTCAGATTGTCGGATGTTCTTACATTTCTAGCTGTTTTTCCTCCTAGCTTGATGTTTGTTTGTTTTTTAACAAATTGAATATGCTTATTAAATATACATCCAAGACAATGGTATAATCGTATTACCTTACTAACTGATCACAATCAAGCACTCTTGAATTCTACAGTTATCCTGGAGGTACCCTCCAAACCTCATGCCATCACTCCTGGCAGGGAGCTCAGTGGCTTCTCTATCCCTGGTGCTCTTTTTTGGTGTCCGACATACCGCTGATTATCCTCACTGACAGGAAAAATCATGACCGTTTGCAAGCCATCCCCACTGTAGCATGCCCGCTGTCTGTTTTTGTGGACGTCAGTCAATTAATGCTTTAAAATGCTTTTCAGAATATAACGCATTATGATATATATTTTTTTTGTAACTGATGTTTTTCAGATAATAATGTATATAGTGTAAATTTCAAGTTATGAAAAGTTGTGTTGCAATTGCAAAATACAGGCCATGCTGTCTACACTGTGGTTGGGCGTACTGTTACACCAGTCCTGCATTGCGGTTCATAACGTCATTATTTTTATTGTATAATTCTTGTATATACGTACCTAAATGAAAGCTTTAATGTTAATATTTATTGAATTTTTAAGTGGTATGGTGAACAAAGTAAAACACATTTGAAAGATGTTGCTTTTGCTCTTTCCTCTGCTCATATCCATTTACTGCAGTTATATTTTACTTTGATCTTTTTTACTCCCCTGAGTGGTGCGCATTCATCATGGCCAAGTGTGTTTCAATCAAACACATCCAGTTCACACATTCATTCTGCCTGATCTAACTCTTAGAAATAAATCACTGGCACTGAAACACATTCAAGCACTTTATTAACTACGTCCAGTCATATACAGGGTGTATCAAGAGACAAGTGATGCCTCTTAATCAAATCTTAATGAGGTTTGAGTGGCACAATGTGACAATAATTGCCAGTCTTCTTCTGCCAGGCTGGCACTGATCTCTGCCAGCTCTGCTGTGTAAAAATAAGACGCTGCATTTCCTATCTCCTTAAAACTGTTATCATTTCGCCGAGTAACCAGGCATTCACTGTGCCACCCATCTTCTTCTGTGAGCAATGACAAGGTGGTACTGTGGTGTGGGTGTCACACAGACCGAGTGACTGAGTCAGCCAAGGCTGAGACGTCTGCGGAGGTGTCTGGTGAAATCCAGCTGCACCCGAGGCAAAGCCTGATTGACAATAGACTTTGGCAGCCAGCCCTGAGAATAAAGTGACATTTATTAGACGCCTGAATGGTATTTGTTGACTGTCAGTCAACAACAAAAAGAGAGAGTGAGGTGCAGGTAGGTGGTCTGCTGCTGTACAATAATTATGCATTGTTCATATGTAGATATTGTTCGCTTTTGAATAATATTAACACAGAGTCCACTTATTTTCCCAAGCTTTGAACCACATCTCATGGCCTTTTCTTGCTGTTCTTAGCTCAACCATCTCTATGAGGGAAGAGCACTCTCGAGCAGCTCTAAAACACCATGAGATGCAGTTGATAAAGCAAACACTGAGATTTTGACTTGTACACAGTGCATTACATTTACTGACAGGATTTAAAAAGGAAAACCTGAGAAATGCAATAAGAAAAATCTTCTCATTTAGTTCACTTTTACAGAAACAGAGGAAATGTGTACATTGTTTTTGTTCATGAGTTGTTTAACATATACAGTGTGAAATGGCCAGTTTGTATATGTGTAATGTATAATAGAACCCTGCATTATTTTGCATGTGCAGATTTACATTTATTAATTAATGAATTTACCTTTACTTCCATATTAAGAAGCCACGTGAAGCGACTTTTCGTTGAATCTTCATCCAGGGCCTGTATGATGATGCAGGTTGGTCCATGCTCAGCTCTGTACTCACGCAAAAAAATGTGTTTTAGTTTTCGAATTTCTTTTAGCCTCGCCTGTCTTTATTTTAATTATCAGTAATCATACAATGCATGTGGTTCTTTGGCCTTTTCATGCCGTTGGCCAGGGAATTCAAATTTCTTTTATAAGCTATTAAAGGTGCATAAATGCTAAAAAAAGAAAAAAGAAAAAAAAAAGGCATTTTTAGCCTGTTGCTTGGTGGTTTGATTGGCAATAGTATGTTAAAATATGATATATATAACAACCTTCAGGGGCCTAAGATGTATCTATGTGCATAGTTTGGTTTGGAGGAGTTGGTTGACCTCAGACAGAAATGTATTTTAATGTATTAAACTAAGATTTACCTTGCTCTTCCCACCAACTTTGACCCATCTGTTGATCATTTAAGATTACATAATAAAATATCTCAGCAATTGGAATAAAACTTGCTACAAATAGCCATGATCTCCTCCAAATGAAATTCACCTACTGGTGACTCCTACATTTTATAATTAGCACCATCATTAGGCAAACTTTAAATTCTGTTCACTACTTAATACATAATGATGTCAGCTCTAATGACTTTCCCAGTTAACCCAAGCTATTATTTTTGTGGAACATGTTACGATAGCATGTTATACCTACTAAACATGACTCTATCACTGATCACTGTAGACAAATAATCATGCTTGTATTAATATTTAGTTTGGCATCACTGCCACATAGCTTCCCTAAAACGCATCCCAGCAGCATTTAATATATAATTGGCTATGAAAATTAACTTTAGCTCTCCTCATATTTTTTTCTCCACTGAAATTAGCTTAGGTTGTATGGAAAAATTTAAACGTCAGCGCGCATCAAGACAATTTTTCCCCCATTTGTATTATTTTATCTCCCTTCATGGATGACTAAGATTAACTCAGACTCTTTAAATAAGAAAAAGTTCAATTAAGCTGTTGAGTATCATTTTAGATATGACAATGAAGGATTAGTGCCTCGTCTGCAGACGTACCTTACAAAGCCTGCCTGAGGGGGTAATGACTCCAGCTGAACTGCTGCTCCTCCAATATAAACGCTGGACCTTTGTTTGCAGGTGTGTCTGACACTCAGGAAATCCCTCTTTCCAATCACATTTCCTGCTGTCCCAGTTGAAACTTCGTGGATGACAATTGTTTGTAGACCAATACGTTTTAGAACCTACAACACACGAAACCAACAGCATTTGCTTTTCATTTGCAAAACCTGTGTATGGATTTTTTGTAGCAGTCGGAAAATGCATTTGTTGATGTGAATATGCAGCATGACAACTATAGGTTGGTTATAAAGACTAATTTGCAGACAGGACATGTTGGAAAACTTTGAATATAGCTTAAATAGTATTTGTGTATGTTTAAACTCTGGTATTTTTATAGCTTAAAGTTTTGCAGTTGATCCAGTTTCCAAGTTGTTGAAAGGTGAGTTGCTCACTTTGATTTGCTGTATGCTTGGGTTCCACTGGTGTAATTCTTCAACTCTGACAAACAGGATGTTATAGAGCTCATCCACACTGGCGTCCAACACTGCCTCCAGCCTAAAGACTTTCCTGCCCCCTGGAATCACTTTGCTACAGATCGTATCGCCATTACTCTAAAGAGGAAAAAAACACAGGTTCATGATCCACTGTTTACTTAATGCAAGATTTTTCAGAGTGCGGTGACCATTGATGAACTTTAATGAAAGTGCTTTAATGGCATTTTTATTAATTAGATGTTACCTCAGCAACCTCCAACTTCCATCCTTCTTTCTCCTCCAAAACAGAGAGAGCCTTCCTCATTGCTTCTTGTCCATGTTGTACGTACAGCTGATCTTCTTTTGCTGGCACAGGTTTTATATCTTTTAGCTTGGCCTCTGCAAAAGTCAGCTGTTTGTAATATTTTGGCAAAAGCAATCTAAAACATTTAATAAAAATAACACAGTTATATTTTACCATTATGATTTAAACCAGTTTGCTGTCTCTTGTGGTTCTCGATTTGTCCCCACTGCTGCAGGTGCGTGATCTCCTGACCTATCACTGCCATGGCAGTGCGTTGAAGTCCTGCATGATTGAATGAAAAATAAAACAGCTTAGGAGACTTACTGAGAATGCATTGTTTGCATGAATAGGAATAAAAAGGAGAAAGTCCTTCTGTAGGTTGTGGAAGGTTTACCTGCTATGTTCTTTATATGTGGGTAGGAAATTCCACAGCAGAGCTTTACAACAGCAGGCAGCATGTCTGTCTTTGGCAGTGACAGCAAAGTAAAGTGTGTCTCTGATCTTTATATGGTCTACGAAGGACACTCCAGTGAGATAAGGGCCAGAGAAGAAGATAGGACCTGTTCTGAATTCTGTCCTGAAGGCCACATTTGAGACTGTTAACTAAGACAAGGGTTTGGGTGTGATACAGAGAGGAAATTCTCTGAAAGAAAAACCCCACACAGGACAACCCAGTTATTTAATGTATCCAACACTTAATCTTAAATATGTTGAGGCAAGATTTTGGAAATTGGAAAGCAGTCCTATTTAGATTTGCAATGACAAAAGCAGTGCATGATCAAAACTGTCACATTTAGAGAACACTGGTTAAATGCACAAGCCTAAATAAGAATAAAATAAGCTTAACCTCCTAGGACCTGGCGTCCACATATGTGGACATCACATTTTGGGTTATTTAGACCAAAATACTCAATTTTGCTCTACAAGGGCCTGATATCCACTTACGAGGACATCATACTGCCACTGATCTATCGAAATTTTAAACAAATATCCTCATATGTGGCTCTTATTTTTCTTAGAAACAAAAATCAGGTTAAAAAAAATCTGGTAATTCTTTGTTTTTACATTAATCAGGTCCCAATCAGCCCAAATATCAAAGAGAAATTAAAAATGCATGCCGTGGAAGAGTTCGGGTCTTAGGAGGTTAAATGAGGCATTTTAAATAGGACTCGTGGTTTATTAAACTTCTTTTTCAGTCATCTTGAAATTGCATATATGCATGATGCATTTTTAATAACCTTTCAGATAATTGGATAATAAATTGGATAATAAAAAGATTATTTTAAAAAATCCCTCAAAATACTCAGAATGAAGTAAACTCTTAGAATCAATTCATCTTTGATGAATAATCAGCCACTCTTTTACCTGTAAGTGAATAAAGGTAGCCTTAGTGAGTTATTTTATTAAAACAAACAAAAAAAATCTATAAACTTAACAGTAAAAACGGTTTAACCATATATATAATATACACTGCTCTTTCTTATTGAACTCAAAACAGCCCTGACCCATCGAGCCATGGACTCTACTAGACCCCTGAAGATGTGCAGTGGTATCTGGCAAAACACATACTTTAAGTCCTGTAAGTTGTGAGGTGAAGCCTCTGTGTTTCCATTTATTTGTCTAGCACATCCCACAGATGCTCAACTGAATTGAAAGTTGGAAAGTTTGGAGGCCAAGTTAACACCTCAAACTTGTTGCTGTGATCCTCAAACCATTCCTGAACCGTTTTTGCTTTGTGACAGATTGCATTATCCTGCTGAAAGAGGCCACAGCCATCAGGGTATACCATTTCCACGAAAGGGTGTACATTATCTGCAACAATGCTTACACATGTCAAAGTAACATCCACACGTATGGCAGGACCCGAGGTTTCCCCTCATCATCTTGCAATCTTCTGGCTGTTGGATCAGACCATATGGGCCAGCCTTCACTCCTGGGAGGGCAAAGACTGTGAACACCCCACAAGAGCTGTAGTTTTGCAAATGCTCACTCAGTCACCTAAACATCACAGTTTGGCCTTTGTCACACTCGCTCAAATCCCTACACTTTCCCATTTTTCCTGCTTTTAACACATCGACTTTTAAGAAACTTTGAAGATATCCCACACACTAACAGGTGCCATCATGAAGAGATAACAAGATTAAATTGTCAGCAGTCATGATGTCATACTTTATTTATTGAAAAAAAGACTTCTATTATGGAGAATAAATAGTGTGCTGACAGCTTAAACTCGAGTTAACAATAAATGCTTTTCTACAAGCTGCACAAACTGATTTTGTGTTATTTCAACATCACAAAAACAAATCCCACAATAATATTTAGTAGCACAAAGATGATGAAATTTTAAATGAAAAGCCCCAGGTATCAATCTGTTTTCTATGACACATCTGGGAAATTTAAAAAATGCTTTAGTAATTTAGTAGAAATCAGGACAAGTACCAAAAAGCGATTCTCAGTGCAAGCCCTTTATAATAATTGGCAAGACCTACTATTGCAGGATACTTGAGAGGACGTAGAAATTTCAGCTCATTTAGTTGGAGCCGTGAAATGTGACCCTGAAAGACAAAGATTAGATCTCTGTTGTAAGGACAACAGTTGCACTGAATAGCAGTGGATAATGTGAAATGATATA